GTGGGGAAACTGAATACTATGGATCGCACTGATGATCTGAATGGTGAGGGATGCCACCGTATAGGCTGTTTTCGCATCGCTCCCCCTCGAAACGGCTGAAATAGCCGATTTTTGCTGAATTCCGCCTGAGCGTGTTGTGCTCGGGCAGAAAACTCGTCCAAAGGGGAACCCCTTGCCGATTTTTTCCGTGAAAACTCGTCCAAAACAGCCGCTTTTCGACGGGACAACTCGTCCACCGCATTGCCCGCCGCCGCGACGACCTGTGTATAAGATCGATAATTTCTGTGAGTTCGCACTTAAAGACACAACCCTGGTGACCAGGACACGGTCAATGATCGATCATCTTGCTGACTTCGCTATCTGGGAAATATCGTCTTTCATTTTGACCGCCCACACTCACTGGTGTTTAATTTTTGAATCTCGGAAAAGGATACACTCTGTTCGAAAGGATCCATAGATTTTGCTTCCAATGTCCGCATCGTGAAGTGCAGTTCTCTGACGCCCCAAATTCGCTATCTGGGTAAGATCAACGATCATTTTACCCTCCCATTTTAATCAGTATACGAGATCGATACTTCCTGTAGTAACTGTTGTAGTACTCTCCTGTTATGAAGCTGCATTTCTATTCGTCTCCAACACTCGAGGACACAACAATGGCGATCAGTTCTGAAGAACTATCAGAAATGGATGCTCTACCTGCGTTTCTGCAAGCCGTCCAGAAGAAACTCGATCAATCGAAGGAAGAGGAGAAAAGGACATACGCAACCGGTGTTTGTCTTAGGAGGAAGATGTTGCATCAATGATCAGCCTTGATCTTTTCATGCGAGCCAAAGCGTTGCAGGAGATCACGAGCACAGATACAGTCCTCATCATTGCGGACCGGTGGGGCGTGTCAGCCAGTATGAGTGTGCACACTGTTGAAGCCGTTCTCAGCCTTTTTGTTGAAACGCGTATGCGACAAAAAGTGGTAGAAAACGAGTAATACGAAGGATATAATACAGTAATGTCACTTGCCCGCTTCAACAACTGGTGCAGAACGACTTTGGCACCGCGCCAAACGCAGCCGCACTGACCCGCCCCGACAGTCCGTAATGATGAGGACTGTAAGTCTATGATCCCTGATCAGTTTTGCCCCTTTAACCGGTATATAAGACCGATACTTTCTGCGCTAACTATTGCACTATTCTTCTGTAAATGAAGTTGCATTCCTATTCGTCTCCAACACGCGAGGAAACAGCAATGGCGATCAGCGCTGAAGAACTTTAAGAAATGGATGCTCTACCTGTCCTTCTGCAAGCCATCCAGAAGCAACTTGACCATGCAGAAGCAACTCGTCCGTCCGAGAAATGCGACATACTTCACCAGTGTTGGCGTTTCAAGTGACCATGAGCCTAGATGAGCCTGTGATCACTGATCAGTTTCGCCCCTTTAACCGGTATATAAGACCGATACTTTCTACGATAACTATTGCACTATTCTTCTGTAATGAAGTTGCATTCCTATTCGTCTCCAGCCTTCAGGACTTAACAGTCACTTAACCCATGCCCCCAATCACACAATTACGGTAGAAGTTGTTCTTGAGAGTGATGGTAAGAGCAGAGGCCTTTGCGCATCTCTATTGAGAGAAGTACCTGAATGATTTTCATCTGGCTCAGAAGGTGTTATTCAGTACATATGACATGCTTTCTTTCTGTGATACGGTATATATTATGAAAACATATATGTATGCAATTGCGTGAAAATTCAATCAAATCGATTTTAAGGTGGTAAGCAATCGCTGTCTCTTGGAGCAGGATGTATACAGAAGGGGATCATCATACACGAACTCATGCATGCCGTCGGATTCTTTCATGAACAGAGTCGAACAGATCGAGATGACTATATTACTATTTTGTGGAATAATATACTGCCTGGCATGCAAGGTAAGCGGTTGGTATAATGTACTGCGCTTGACGTTCATAGGTCTCTTCTTTAAAGACGCCATGCCATTGACTTCCCTTCACAGTCGGATAAGTTGCATGTTTGGGCCCTGGTGGCTTACCCCATAACATCTCTCGGAGGATAGTATCATGAACCAGCAGCCTGCAAATGTTGCTCCACAGTTTCGTCCAAAAGGGGGTCTAAGGTACCGTTCAGACTTCGCAACCAGGGTACAGCATGTATTACGATCCCCTCCCCCCTCCACCTCCACGGCTTTTTCGCCGACGACGAGCGATGAGTATATAGACGGCGAAAGTTGTCGAGAGCGGAGGAGTCGTGCCCTGACCCCAATTCGAAGGGGGGGTCGTACTCCCACCCGACATTTCGCACATCCCCATGCTGTACCCTAGTCGCGCGTCCAACGCGATCGATGCAATCGAAAGAATGCGCATCGATCGCTTCGGACGCGCGACCGAAGCGCTGTCGTCGCTAAGTCTGACATCTTGAGGTCCCTTTAGAGCCTTATTCTTGAGGTCCTTTAGAGGAGTTCTGTGCAAAACTGGGAGTTCCGGCATGATTGAGGAATTCTGGCTAAGAACAGAAAAGGGAAAAGCTCAGAGCTGGTGACAGGATGCGTGGTTGAGGATACTATGGGGGCTCATACTTGGTCGCGTGCGTGAAGGGACTGAAGTCGTATTTACCTAGAAAATTTTTTTCTGGTCGTCGATTTTCCCACTCAAGCGTACTGTGTGTTCCCGCGTAGTCTACCGCGAAACCACAGTCGATCGAAGTGCAAATTTTTAAGAAACTCTGGTAAGGTAATCGCCACTGTGAAGGTTGCCGGAAGAGAAAATTAGTGGGAGGGGGGAAGGAGAGTCGTATATTCAGCAGAAACTCTTTTCAACGCTAGACCCTGCCCTGGTTGGTGAAACAGTCTGAAGGGGGATAATTCTATTCAAACGGTTTTCTGGGGATGCTCTATGGCCCATAAGTCCCGAACGCGTCGGCCCATAAGTCCCGAACGTGTCGGCTGAGATGGTGTACCATTGTGGCTACTTCACTGGTGCGCTCTTTCTTTTCACCGTGTCTGCAAGAAGGGGCATCAGTGAAGAAGGCACATTGGTTGGCTGTCTCCCCACACAGTCAAAGAGAACAAAGCCATTAATGGGAGACAGACGCGGGGCTCACCTCAAGAATAGCTTTGTCAACGCCGACCCACTTGTCCTGCTTCACCCTTGACATTCTGGCTCTTTCCGTTTGAAAAAAATTGGATTTTTTTGTTAGGTCAGTTCGAGAAGTACGGTCAAGGGACCATCCAGACGTTGGGCGCAACCTATGACTATTCTTCCATCATGCATTACGGTAGCAAGGTGAGAGATTACCTTTATATTCGACCACTACTCGAAAGCCTTCAACAAAACCCCACTGTAGGCGTTTTCACGTAATGGCCAACCAACGATGGTCCCTAAACAGAAAGGTGCTCAAATAGGTCAACGAGGCGGTTTCTCAAAATCGGATATTTACAAGCTCAATAAACTCTACGGCTGTCCACAAGGTTTTTCAATTTTGCTTTGAGATTTTTCACGCCGAATAATTATCTAATTATATGCTTTGACGTGTTGTTGTTTACCTACTTCTTCTATTTAAGATGGAGGTAAACCTGAAAGTACGACAGGTGCTGCAACTACGGCTACCACTACTGAAAGGACGACAACGACACTAGAACCGGTCACCACTACTCTTCCACCCATAACAACTACTCCTGTGCTCACTCCGATCACCATACCTCCAATTGCTCCTGAATGCAAGAATCTCCGAGGCGACTGTGACAACCTCCGGGAGAGCGGTAAGAAGAACTGAATGTCGGCGCTGTTTGTCGACGAGGGGGCATTTTGTATTATCATTGCTTCCCTAGTTCCGGTTTACAAATCTCACTCTGGTAAAACTTGTGAACTCTTGTGAAGCTGAAGTAAGATCGTCTAGCCACTATCCTAAAACGTGTCAACTCGAGAAACGGCTGCCTAGATGGGTCGACACATCTATGGAAAGCAAAATGCCCCCCCCGTCGACAAACTGCGCCGTGAATGTCCATCTTAATTAAGCCTTTTTATCGAATTTGCACAAATGGTTGAAAGCGTCATCCACAAACATGGTCTCTTCTAGCACGCCCGCCAGTAAGAGGGCATATTCGAGTCATGGAGTATATAGGCGTATTTAGCGCGCTGAAAGGGCGGAGGCAGCAAAATGGAAGTGGGAGGGGCATGCTCAGAACAAAAGATGAATTCTTCAGTTCTGTGGATGTATATATGATGGGGGCGGGGCTGATCCAAAAGTCCCGGAAAATTTGAAGCCTAAAAGTTATTACTGCACAAAAATGAAACAACCACAGCTAGTTATTTGAAATATGCTCCATTACTATCTATGGTCTTTTGCCCCTTCTTTTAGTGAGTGGATCGTAGATGCCCTTCTTCCAGAACGAGGCAACGTGGTTTGAAGAATCCATCTTGTGCCTTTTCAAGGTCGTCGGGGGTTTTGAATTTTTGACTGCCTAAATGGCATTACAGGTCCTAGAATAGGTAGTAAGTCAGAGGGCGCAAGGTCTGGAAGGTGGGTGAGGAAGGACGGGCGTACGTTCCAGGGTGAGTAGAGAAAGTATCCGGTCGATCGTTCGATCCACATCCTTCTGTGATAATGCATTGTAGGTAGCAGATCGGCCACATAATTTTTGAACCTTTCCTATTTTCTTCATCCAACCAAACTACGCGTTGTGGCAAAAAAACTTGGAGGACAGCCCACGAGTACTGTTGGTATGGGTCCGCCTCAGCTCTCCTGCCGTCTTCAAAATCCATACGTATCCGCCCTGTCCTTTTCGTCATCTTCGATAGAATACTCGCCTTTCTTAAACTCGACACGTACAAGCAAACGTTAGACGTCCTGTAGACTTTTGTTTCTATCGAACGGCTCTTCGAACTGCCCGGGAGATCTGAATGTTGTCGGGTAAACCTTTCCTGAATGAGAACATCCATAAATGTCTTAGGAGTTCGAACCAATCAACCTAATACCTCCCATTACCGACTGAAGAAGTCCACATAGGAGAGAGAGAGAGACTGAAATTGGTGTTGGCGATGAAAGGGATCGCTCGATACACTCCCCGATTATCCGATGGCTCTGTATACAGGTAACCCAACATTCTCAGAGATTGTTCATCTCTCGCAGTTCCAGAATAAGGGATACCTTCATAAGCTGATGGTACTCCACCCGTTGGAAGTTCCCCACCCTTGTCGTGTCGCTCACGAAAAGGGGGTGCTCACATATCTAGGTCATCCCGACATTCAACGGCCGCAGTTTTAATTTGAATAAAACAAAGAGGAGAATAATAAAAAAAAGTAATATTCAGCCATTAGATTCAAAATAAAATCCTCTTTCACCAATGACCTCGCGTCCCATGCCGCGAAAGCCTTTGGACCTGCTGTAGCCTTCTTTTTCAACAAGTGTGGGTAAATTGCTGTTGTTGCCAATTTCGGCAAATGACAAAACATTGTAGCGTCTGCCGTTCGGAGAGTACTCTCAACTGAATAGAACAGTTGTAATCGCATGGCTTTATGACGGGGCGAATGACATTGAAACTCAGGTCCTCAAGTATTGCCTTGTGTCCCATTACGACCACAGTGCAAGTTCTCTGCGTCTGGCACTATGATCTAAGCAACGGTGGCGCTTCTTGTAGTTGTGTGGTAGCATCCATTTGTCGATCTGAATGCCGAGGAACAGGCAATATGCACCGACAGTGACGGATTTGTTCTCTGTATAGAGCCGCTTGAAAGCCACAGTGGAATCCTTTGCTATGATGATCATCCACTTGCGCCCACGTAACTCTTCATGGTAGAACTCGGGCGGCTTCTCATCTGCATTCATACAAAATTGACGATTGTGAGTTTCGACTCGAGGTCCGAGACCACCCATATTTCATCTAGGGCCGGGGTGCGTTTTCACAGTTGTGAGTGACATCTCATGCTGAACATACAGGGTGACCAAAAAGTTCTGGCAATTTTTCGGAATACTTCGGTAGCATAAAAAATACCGTTCGAAAAAGGAAATCAGCCAACTAAACGTCTGGGAGTCTTCATCTAATCAGTACTAATGACCGTATACAACAAAGTTCCAACAAGTGTTCAAAAATGCTCTTCAGCTCACAATTACGTATGTCGTTTTCGCAAAGTTGTCCGACAATGGTCGCCATTACTCTGCTGTAAGTTTGGTCCCAACAACGCACGGCAACGCCACTTTCACTGGTTAAACCGTGCGCATCGAAATTCCTGAGAATTTCAAGACCCAGATAATAATCCATGGGGATTCGGACTGCAGCTAACTTGGGAGGCCAAACGTCCTTGCCCCAAAATCGGGAAGCAGCTCTTCACAAGCGGCAGTTCGTGGGTTTGGCAGGATGTGCTGGCTCCCAGTCTTGCTGAAGCACGTGTCCATCCGGGCCGAAGTGCTACGACACCCATGGCTTCAGTACATCGCGGAGAACGCGTTGTTGGGAGTAGACAGCATTAATCTTTACGATGCGCTCGATGAAGAAATGAGAGGTCTTCCCGGTGGCACAGATCCCGCCTCAGACCGTGACTGAGGCTGGAAAGAGTCTGCGTCCGACGGATTTCACAGCCGTTGCCTTCTGTTGACCTTTTCTGAGGAGCAGACAACAATTCCGGTAGTTGTGATCGAAAATTTTTCTCGTCGGTGGCGAGCACATTCTTCAAGCAACAAGCACCGACCAGAAGATGGGTTTCAACAACTGCAACTTTTTGATTTTTTCGAGACAGTGCGAGGAGAAATCGAAAGTGATTGGATAGATGACTCGTACGGTAGTTCGAAATGGCTTGCGGAATACAAATAACCCATCGGAGAGAAAACAGACCATAATGGCCATTCAAAAACGCACAAACAAGAAAATTGCCAGAACTTTTTGGTCACTGGCTGTACAGAGTATATGAATCGATACTGCTGTCGTGCTTCTAATAGAAAAATTGGGTATCCCCATGGCGCACGCTTCGACCATCCTCCGTTTATTCGGTCAACGCACTGTAATTGCACTGCAGGAATGTCAGAGCATCGCGGAAACTCGACAAGGGTCCAGGCTCTGTGATCAGATATTGCCTGACTTCATCCACCCTTTTTTCTTACAAGATGAATATTATGGGACCATCCACGACAACAAATTTTTTCCTTTCTTCCTTGTACGGGCTCCTGAACCAAATCTTCCACCGTGTATTTCGAGAACACTCTTACACACAACTATGGTCCGGCGCAGGTCAAATTTGAGCAGCGCGCTTTCCTCTTATGACGTCTGATTTAAAAAAAAACCGGCTCCGATTTTCACCACTCGGGCTTCTTTCATTTCTCGAGAACTTTTTCGTTCTGGGGCTAGGTTGCCAAATTTCAGCAGATACTAGACAGCTTAAGGTACTAGGAATGGTATAGTAGCCCGCTTGTTCTATCCCCCGCTTTGCTTTTCCATTCCTTCATATGTAGGCGCAACGTTTTGAATGGGATGAACCTAAAGTAATACAAATTTAGCGTTCTCTAACTGGAAAAACTTAGCGTCTCACACCGTTTCCTGGCGTCCTGGTTCTGTTCATACTACCTCCTCCTTCTCCTCCTCCTCCTGCTCGCTCCTCCTCGCTCCTCCATTCCATCCATCCATCCACGACCATCATTCCATATCATTCATCCCTTCCATCCATCCATCCATCCATCCATCCATCCATCCATCAAAAGGTCACACTGAGATTCACTCAGCTTTCCTCGTCGTCCGCTAAAGCCATTACTGAGGGCATTTCGAGGCGACATTTGTCCTCGATCATGGCATGTTACTACTTAATGTGAGGTTTAAGGCCTGTCTTGCCACGACACCACGGTGCCAAACCACTGAATTATGGATTTAAGGAAGAGGCGGAATATAGAATCCGAAACTACGCGTCAAATAAGGACCTGCGAGTGCACATAGTGTCCCTTTTACATCTAGGCACCACCTGAATGCGGGTAGAAAACAGAATGCATCGCTTCCGCTTTCTTTCGGTTTTTGAGTTCCTCTGCCCATCCATCTTTCTAGTTCTTATCGATTTTAACGTATTCTATTGTCTCTTACATGTTCATTGAAAATTGGCCATTCAGGCTGGTGCTTGCGGAATCCTGGCTGGATGAAAACCCACTGCCCAATCTCTTGTGGTTTTTGCGAAAAGAAACCAGGTAAGCTGAAGATGTTTTGGAATTTTTCCGAAAGTTTTCGGGACATCGGCTCACAGGAATATTTTAGAAACTGGCTTGACGCTTCCACCGATATTTCCGACCACTGTTCCAGGTGACTGCGATGACCTACGAGTAGACTGTCTTGTTCTTGTTTCTCAGAGGTCTGTTCCTTTGAACATGTTATTTCGACAGAGATTCAAGGCTCCATTTCCATATTTGATAATATTGAAGTATTATAGGTACTGCAAACTTTCTCAAAGCTTTATGAAGAAGTACTGTGCGAAGAGCTGTGGATTTTGTTTCAAACCACCGCCAACGGATGGCACAAATCCTGCTACCGACCTCACTCCAATAACGACGAATGCACCCTTCATCACGTTCTGGAGGACATCTACACCAAGGTTAGTCCCGTTTGCGAGATGCTGCCCGAAGAACAAAACCCACGTGGGTTCTCAAGGGATTCTTGGGAACATTCCAACAGATCAATACACCTTCATTGGATGTGTTTTCATTGGACGGACCCCCTGTATTGTACGCCTCCAAGTTTTCGATGCAGATTCAAGGATAACGGGATGGCAGATGCCTTTCCATATAAGGCGGTAAGGTCCGCAGCCGGCGAAACTGTGTCATTTCCGCGACTTGGGTATGCGCTCTGAAGCAGTGCACATCATTAGTGGGGATTTTAGTCGAGTCTGTACGACTCCCCCCCCCTTTTTTTATAGGGTTGGTACGATCCCCCCCGCTCCCCGGTTCCCCTTCATAGGTCAACAACATGGGGAACACATGTGAAACGGGTAAAGCCACGAACAAAGTGCGACTCCCTCTCTACCACCACTTAGAATTTCCCCCAACTTCTTACCATTTTTCCGGAACTCCCGATAACTTTCCTACTTTGCTCACATTAGACTTCTCTCAGAAAGCCTCAGAAGCAAACACCTGGATACTGGAATCACCGCTGTTCCCCTCCCCAGTCACCAAATACGACCCCACTGTTGGAGAATCCCCAGCAACGATGTGCCTTCTCTGAAGATGATGTGGACTTGTAATTTGTGACTGTACGCCCTCCTTTTGGCAAGACGCTCGCTGAATGTGCCATCTGGAGAGCTGCGCGCTTCTTCGTCTGTATACAGTCGATAACGTCGCAATCAGTCCTTCTCATCAATCATCCTTCTCGAAACTGCCCCGACTGATTGCGACGATACAACTGTACTTACAACGTCTGGTCTCTCATCTGCGTGCTCAGTGTTTCTGCGCTTTATGCTCGTATGTTGCTCAAATTCCAATGAGGAGGGTGGTTTAACCCGTTCTTTTTTGTTTCCTCGTTGTTGATTTTCCTGGCACCGGCAATATTTATACCTGAACGCTACTTGCCAAATCCTACTGCCTGGGTGATGCCTGTGAGATCGTCCTTGCGCTCCCAATCCACAGCCTTCACATCGGTTTTTCCCAAAACTTTGCCGTCGAGCGGGGAAGGGGTGAGGGCAGACAGCTACGAGCAATTGGTTTTGTCTTCCGCCTCGCTGGCAACCAGGAGGTACAGTGCCTTTATAAAAGGAAAAATCAACAATCAAAAAAGTTTCTCAGAACAAGTATAACTCTTTGATGGTAATACGATCCCCGCACGGCAGTGATGTACCCTGGGCACGCCATCGCGTTGTGATAAATTCCTGCGAAATACACCCCCCCCCCAGTTCCATCCTCTGATACGCCCTCCCCATCCTACCTATCAATTTCCCACGTTTTTCAGTTTTTCACCCTTAGGTTTTCTGTCGAGCCGGGAGGGGGTGTATATAGCCAATGTGAAACGAGAAAATTTCTCAAACTACCCCAACTTTTTGCGAACTTTCCCGAAAATTCCCCCTACTTTTACCCAAAAATTTTGCTGTCGAGCGGGGGAGGAGTATAACACCAGTGAAGCGGGAAAAACGCAAAAAGCCAACAACCGGGAAATGTTTTTTCCCAACGCCGCAAATTCCTCTCAAAGACCGATATGGCCCCACCCTTTCCAAGAACGAGCAAATGCGTCTCCCCGTTGTGATTATCACAACGATGGCGTGCCCTGGATGTACCCTGCCTCGTATTTCATGAGAGGGAAGGGTCCAGTTTGAAAATAATAACTAAATAAATATGTTGCTATATATGAATGAAAACAAGTGGCCGTATAAATTTTTAGCCCACGAGGACGAACTGGTACCACATTCACATTTACAACCGCTGAACCTTCAACTTCACAATCATGCAAGGATCGCAAACATTTCTGTCATCATTGGAAACTAGCAGGATTTTGCGAAGGAGTCTTCATGAGTTACATGAAGAAAAACTGCGCTGCATCTTGTGGATTGTGTTAGCCATGGCGCAGCATATGTACAGTTTAAATTATTTCTCAGATTATTATATGAAATTATTCTCTTCTAACATCCCACATTCATGCGGAATAACCTAATGCTCCGCCTTTCACTAATACTTACCATCTGAAGCGTTGTCTTCGCTAATATTCATCCTACATTTGCTCATAAAGCACCCGGTGACACCACTACTCTCAGTAGGCAAAGGACACACTGTACGGTTAGCTGATGGTGAGAGATAAATCCCTCCTTTCTGCATATGGGCAGGCCTATAGCCGTAGAAGTGTGGTGCCTTCAGCTGTCTGGAAAGGGGCAATATTGAAGCTTGAGGTTGCGGTAGCTTGTTATTGATTTTTCCGCTGCTATTCGATACGCATATGCACATAGTCTTGATGATAGCCACACGTTGTGTGGTTATAGTCAAGCGTATGTCTGGCCGTATGGCGCATGGCGTGTCGCACGGTAGCACGTTTTAAGCGCAATGTGAGAACATAAGAAACATTGAGCTGTTTAAGCGCCTAGCTTTGCTGCCGCTCGCTTTCAAACGGCAGGAGTGTCACAGTTGTACATGTTCGCGTGGCGACATTGATGGCTCCCCTTTAGTAACAACCATGGTGCAGCAGCAAACCTGTACCTGCTCAGGATGGCTGGAATAGAGTCGGCTAAGAAGTGAAAATGAGGAAACACGCAGTAGGACTGTGCCGTGTCCACTCGGGTTCCTGCACTCTTTAACGCTGTGTGCAGTGTTCATACTTCGCGACGTTAGTCGCTTAGTCGCGCAGTTTGGAAAACAGTCGACGTAACAAAGATTCTGGAGGCCGTGAAGTCGCTGTTACCGTATTCCGCGCGCTTGATTAAGTTTCCAAGTTTGAGATGCGTTTCATTCCTATGTTACACCGCCTCCGGCACTGCCCGCGTGATATACGTTTCACCGCACTGTTAAGGCGGACACGTTACGCGCGTACGCACCCGATCTTGGGGGGGGGGGGAGAAGGGCCTCCTACAACGGCTGAGTTAGGGCAGCAGCCGCTCGCCGGACCGCGAAATCCTTAATGTTGACGATCGCGCTCCTCCGCCAGTCCTTGGACCATAGGCGATCGAAATAAGTCTTATCTTGACTGTGACTGAGTTACCACTTGCACCGGTTCAACTGATAGCGGGAAAACGAGGTCGGCCGATAGTATCCGCGCTCCTGAATCTAGGCTCGCAAAGTGTGAACGCGGCCTCAGGAGGACCACTGTCGCAGTGCTAGAGCGCAGACGAGCAGAAGAAATGGTGATGTTTTCCGCTTTCGGGCACTTATCAACCATACCATGCTCATCGTCTTGCGAGGGTCCAGGGGTATTTTCTGGTGGCGTCTACTGGCCCAGTGTTTAAAGAGAGAAGGCAAAAGGGGAGGGAACAGAGAAGGAAGGCAGGAAAAGAAGGAAGGAGGAAGAAAAAAGGAAGGAGAAGAGAGACTCCGCAGTTGACAAGTGCCCTTAAACGATGTTTTTCACCGGTGCGCCTCTCCTTCCCTCTGTCCACTAACCCCAAAAACAGCTATTGTGATTTCATATTTTGCTTCACGCTCTTCACATAATTTTTTTTGTGATTTTTAATAAGATCTTGTCTGTTAATAAGGAATTATGAGGCATTACGCAGTTTTGGCCTAATTTTTCCCTGAATTAAATTGTAATTTATTACCCTTCATACCAGATTTCTGGACATACATTCCAGGAATAATGTACGCTCAATACGAACGTTTGTGATAATTCCGTTATGTGAAGCTTCTGCTTGCTTCTATCGATCTGCTATGTTAAGTTTCTGATCGAATAATAACTTTAGTAAATATCTAATATTGTAAATATTCTCATCTTGTTTTTTTTTTAAGGTGTGAAAATCCTATTCGTATGGTAGCAACAGTTTTTTACGTAATAAATCATAATAATAATAGTAACAGTGGCAATATGTAAAGCTAACAACAAAGTCATCAAGATTTTCTCCGTCTTCTACTCAATTCCCGTATTTGGCGATTGTCTGCCAAGCGCAGATTATCGCTGAAGGGATTCCAAGGCAGTTTTACCGTCAGCCAAGCAGGGTGTTACGACAGTTGTTTGCCAAAAAGGGTCGTTTGCTGGACCTTTCGCGAAGAACGTCCTTGAGTTTCCGATTCGCCGGGAAAATGTTACCGAATGTTGACTTTTTCCTGTTTTTATTTGCGACGGTGCTGCGCTTGCAAGGAGGCTATATTGGAGCCATTGTTGAAGCGGCCGCAGACGAGACAATTAGCATAAACTGGAGGTGTTGCACGCCAAACCAGGTCCCCTCCCGTCACGCCGATGCGTCTGCAGCGGCTTTTACAGCACCGTTAACAACCACAGGTAGTTGTTTAGAGAGACCTTCTTCCTCCGTTCCGCCTCGACGCAACTTCTTATTGGGAATAAGTGGCGAAAAAGGCTTTGGAAAACTGGCTAAGGAATTGGAAGATGGTGCGTTAGTTGAGTATGTGAAAGGGCGTTATCTTTTCGAGGAAGTTATTGTAGGAAGGGAAGGGACCACCCTGCTAGTTTATCCCATCGGTTGATGGGGTCAAGATACGCTCTCGCTCACTCCCAGGGAGGATCCTTGCCATTTGCGAATCAAACCGATCCAGAGCTATACAATTGTGCTGCTTTGACCGCCCAGAAATGCCCGGAAATGAATCACGTAGGGATAACTTGAACTGATTCTTTTCTATCATCCGGCCCCGCTCCCACACACATATCGCTGCGAGCAGGCAAATTTCCTGCCCGGTTAACCCCATTCCCATCTCACCTACCATCTTCCAAAATTTTTCTTCACTTACCACCGCATTCCCGCAGTTTTTTTCTCAAAAATTCCTCGGAATAGAAATTTTATGAAATAGGAAAAACCGAGAGAAGTCGAGAACCGGAGAAATTCCAGGCAAATATGTACGACTCCTCCCTCAAGCGACCGAATACTACCTCCTCGCTGAAGGTTCCCTGTTCCCTACACAACTAGCCAAGCTATCATACCCACTGCTTTCAAATGAACAGTGGAACCCTCGAAGTGATCACCTTTTGTGGAGACCAAAGGCGAGGGAATCGAGCGGGCGGCTGCCTGTCGTTGTCTGAAGGAGAACCGGACCCTCTACTCACTAGACATGAGGTTTAATTTACAGCATGTTCATTCTATCACAGCAGCGGAATGGAATGAACAAAGAATAGGAACTTCTTTTGCCCGCGGCTGCTGCGCATGTCCGCAGCTATAACTCCTCCTGCAACTGGCAAGAGCGGGCTTCTAAGAGATATATGGCATCTTTTGCAAAGCCAGAGATATATTGAACCAATGATTATGGAGATTTGGAGATAATACTGCAAATGCAAACCCAGATACGTCAAAATTGGTCGAAAAAAATGCTAAAGCACGTCGTGCGCAGGAGTACGGCAGGTAGCGGTGATCAGCTTGCGCCGCGTCCGCGCGCTTAATTTTGAAGTATTGCGTCTTGCATCTCGTCATCTCACCAAAGAAGGTACCAATGATATGACACCTCGTGCGCTGGGAGTCCTTGAGGTCATTTGGTTGGTGGAGGAAAGGGAGGGGAGGGGACATATGCTTTGGAAGAAATGTTACCGGTTGTTGACTTTTCTTGGTCTTTCCCGTCTCACGGGCGCTATATACCTCCCGGCCCTTCCTCTTCTCCTCCGTGAGAGTGGTAGGAAGTTGAGGGACTTCAATGGTAAATAGGATAGGAGATGGAAAAGGGATGGGGAGAATATGCAAAATTTTTTTCCAAGGGCAGGAGGTTTCCTGACCAGTAGTACTACTGGGTCGCATAAGTAACAGCATTTTCCAAAGGATTTGTAGTAGGGAGCGCGCAGTTGTCAGCTACAAATTGCCCTTTCTTTTCGTCTGCTTTCTCTACAAGGCAGTGTGGCATTACCCTCACGTAATCAGGGCACATCACCGCGTTTCATGATTTCCTTTCGATTATCGAGTCCGAAAATTCCTCTTTCGGTACGACCCCTTTCACACCCGACATATCTACCTATCTAACAATTTTTTTCTAAAAATTTTGCCGTCGAGCAAGAAGGGGTTTGGGATATGGACTTTTTCGATCAATTATCAGAAAATTACAAATGGTAGATTTGCCTCGACGCTAGTTACCATAGGACAGTAGAGTGCCCTGCACGCGGAAAGTCAGAACTTCAGACCCCCTTCCTCCCCTTAGCCGAATGCTACCCCTTAATCAATGGAGATCCCAGCGAGAAAGGTCGTTTTGGTCGCCCGAGGAGGGGTCTTAGTCGTCTCTGTAGAAAGAAGTTTCCGCTGTTAACTTTTCCCAAATTTTCCCGTTCTACATACCCCCTATCCTTCGTTGAGGGAATTCAGGAAGAACATAGATAGCACGGTGATGGGAAGGGGGGGGGGGCGGAAAGGGTCTTACCAGAGGAGAAAATTACGAAGGAGTCGTGTTCTGCGAAATTCCCCTTCAACGACAGGAAGTGCCGATTAGTCACCAGGGCACGGCTCCGTTTTTGAGTGCTCTTAACATATGCTTCACCCACAGCAACAGTTGAGTTAATGATGAATCAATGACATCAGCTGGTCTCAGGTAGCCCAGATATTGACATGGGTTCAATTTGTAACCCACGAAACAGCATGATATCTGTCTAGTGACTCACAGCGGCCTATCGCTATGTCATGTGCTGCATGGATGAAAAACTGTATAAAATACCGTTATGATTAGAGGGTGTGCAAAGTGAAAAAGGTGATCGACACATGTTTATCTGAAAATGAAGAAAAAGAAGACGATTAGCCAAAAACGCACAAAGACAAACCTGCGATGGTCAGTCGTTGGTTCTTGGGCCCAAAAAGGAAGTTATGGGTGGTCAGCTACTTGACAGAGCAGAAAACAAGGAAAGAAACGTCCAAAAACGCAAAACGAAAACGCCGTGTCCTCCAGCACTCATAGCTGTAGAACACACTGAGAAAAAACGGAAAAAAATATAGCGCAGAAA